TACTGCGGTTTGATATGCGTCGCGGTCTCCGTTGGCTCCGGTACGTCCAGCGTGTCAAACACATCACATGTTTCCTCACCAACATAATGCAGTAACATTGCTTTCTTTTGAGCAGCAGCGGTTACATTCATTGCAGCAAACAGGTTGTTTAATCGATTGATGTATTTTTCAAAGCGTGTGGGTGTTGTTTCACGAGGTCAGAGATCAAATTCAGGGAAATTCGGTAAATTGATAGCCATATTTGTCAGCGTTGATACGATCGGTTGCGGTAAGGACAGTGGCGTACAGTGACGTAGTGTCTATTGGCGGTAAATGTGAACTCAAACTGACATTGATGCAAATCGTTGCACAGGTACTCACTCAAGTTGCCAATGGTGGGTCGATTACTTCCTTATTCTGTCCATCCCATCCTCGTCGCCATTTGTAACGTCTGTATTGATAAATCAACTCGAGAAAGCTCTGTTTTGGATAGACGTATATTTATTGACAACTGATAGCAGCCATGCCATTCAGGTATCTCATAATGCTACAGAGTCATCACTATAGTAACATATCGTGTGATGTCAAAGGTCATGCATAAATAATGATATAGGACATCACAGTGGAGACAAAGCATTCAAAACAAAAGAAGCACACACTCCTTATTTGGGTGCACCTCCTAATAAGGTAGATTACACTAATAGTGGGTGAATAAAATACATACATGTATGTACGTAAATCACAACATTGTGCAAGACAAAAAACTTGTAAGATAATGTCAAATTTCATTCTAGTTTGCAAAATCCAACATGTCACAGTGCCTTCAAGGGAAATATTGAAAATAATATATTCTACAGTAATGTACAAGGACGCATCTGAGTAAGAAAGTATATGAAATATACATACTTCTCCTTTTCGGCGATGCATCTCAGTAAGTTCTTCTTGAAGTTTAAATAATTTTTGTTCCAAAGACTGGATTTTTTCATTGGAAGCTTTTCCTCCTCCCCCGTTTCCACTAGAACTGAGAACATTAAGACACAATATTAAGTTGTAGATTACCCCAAAAACAAAGATATTAAACAAAATGATGTCACAGAACATTCTACATGTTGCTTGGTCGAATAACCAAATTGATATATGTTGTACAAGTAGGGGTATTCTTGATACACTGTTCGGAAGGCTCTCAACAATTAGCCTAAAGTACAGTTTTCTGAGAGATTTCGACAGTTGTTTTCACCAGTCTCAGTTGTCAGGAGGTGAAAATTCCTGCATGTTCGTTTACTAGAATAATTAGTGGTGGAGTTTGTAAACTGCAAATTTTATTACCAATACACCATTAATAACGTACCACCAAAATTTATAATGTTGAAATTATTAGGGTAATATGCAATTCTCCAGAAATTCCCAAAGGCATTCTGGTAACGCAATCCAAAAGTTAATTATCAATGTTGTCAGATATGATGGAATTGACTTCGACAACAAAAACAGCATGATTCGAAAAAAAGAATAGCAATTACCAGTAGCAATTTTTGGAAGGTAAATTGAATGTGAAAGTATTTACTGCCTTTCATGGATTTTAACAGGTCATTGTCAAAGCGTAGTTTACGCATGGTTACCATGGTCTACAAATTCACATATTCTGCGATGAATGAAATTTTAGGAGTACTAAGAACAGCACAATTTTGCGATTGGTCACTTAAACAGCAAATAAATTAAGAAGATACACTAAATAAATAATTTGTTATGGTATGTATGGTATCATACACAGACACACTATTAAAACAGATTCATGACAGAGAGTCAAAACTAAAATACGATAGTTTCTAAATATACTAAATTTAAGTACCTCGTTTCACTCTTGAGGTTTAAATCTAAGTTCTCCTGTTTCAATCGTTCTACTTGTATTTGAAGAGCCACATTCTGAGTTCGCATTGAATCAACACCTTCAAAAATTTTGTTGTCTGTAAAAAAATATACAACATATAATTTTAATATACAATGTTCAGGTTACCCATGGATGTGGTTTAAAGTTACATTGGATCCATAATGTTTCATAAATGCACATTGCAAAACAGTTAGAAACCCAGCTATAGCTGTATGAATTTTTAACTTTGGTGTCAGATTTCATCGTGCCATTTTAATAGGGGTGCATGTTGGAATACAAATGGGAAACATGAAACACTTTAATGAAAAAAATTATTTTAACAACACACATTTCAGTTAATAATGATTAATGATAATTAATAATGATTATAATATTATTTAAAGTACATGAATGATTTGCTTTCCTGGCCATCATAACTTTTGTATCAGAAATGGTACGCATGTACCATACTTATCCGGGTAAGAGCCCATGCCTGGACAAACGCCCACCCCCTACTTTTGACACAATAAAGAAGTTGAGGTCATATCCGGGCACACGCCCATGGGGTCTTTTTCTACACAAAACAAAAAACAAAAAAACTATTTTCTATTTGTTGACTGTGGTTGTATTAACAGTTGACTTTCTTGAAGTCTGTCGTGATACTTATAAAAATTTGCGTAAAACAAGGGGTGAACGCAAAATAACTGTGACAGTTTTCTGCCTTCAGGGCAGCGCGTTCACCGTTGATTTTTTTTCAGAATCATAACAGTCAGCAAGTCTATAAAAATAAATATTAAAGCAGAAACAGCAGTTCTCTTTTTGAAATATGTCGTGGCCCTGAAAAGGGCCGGCCGTTTGGTTTGTGCTTCCTTAGAAATGATTCAAGCAAATCGTATAAGGAGAGCCGCTAACCAAGTGTCGCACTCGTTCGGCTTTAGCATCGTAGACAATGAAACCAATGTTGCAATATTGTAGCAACCCGTACCTGGGAGAGTGGTTGAAATCATGTTATTTTGGCTTTATAAATATTTTGTAGCAGCTTGCGAATCCATAACTGGGGCCAGCAATTTTGCAATGTCACGCCGAAGACTTTTTTACCATCTTTTATCACCGCTATTGCATTTCTGTCATGAAAACTATTCTTCTGTCGTTGGATAAAAAAACTTCCTATTTCAAGTCCACCGCGATATTCATATAGTGAGACATTCCAACCGCCGGAACTTGCTGAATGATAACTTTAACCGTGTTTAATAAGCGTCAAGTCTGATAAGAAAGCAATGTCACGATTTGACCTGTATGATGAAATACTAGTAATGATGTCATTCTTAGCCAATCAGTAAAGCAGATGCATAATAGTCAAAGATTGCTAGACTGTAAACAAAAGCATGGTGTGCCATCGCAGCAGAGTGACCCCATTTTTCTTGTCTCTTTATTATGTTTAGACATGAATAAAAAGTGCCAAGCTGACAGACTGCGAAATCCGTGGATTAAAAGTGCTAAGTCCAAATTGTGTGGGACGATATCGACAAACTTCAGGAATAAGTTGTAGGGATTTTGTTCGACGGCTACAGTGACGCCAACTTGGACATTTGAGGGTTTTGAGTTTGACGAAGATGGCAATGAACGTACAAATAAAGATCTGAGAGGTTTTTTTAAACAGCTATGAATTTTTATAATTTTTACTGTGTAAATTTGTAGATTATTATTGATCTTGCATGACGGTTGATTCGTAATTTGTCGAGACCGGAAATCATTTTACGCAGTTTAACCCCTGAAATTTTAATTCATTTTGAGTTCATGCTTATTGGGCGTGTTTGTCGGCGGGAAAATCCTAATTTAAATGATTTCTCACTGTTGATTTTTATTATTTCTGGTTTATTTGTCACATTATAAGCAGTACATTAATTTTGTTTTACTTCTAGTGTTGCATATTGTTCATTTATTTTCGTTGCATGTTTTCATTTGTCCACAGTCCCTGTGATAGAGGGACTGTGATTTGCCATTCTATTCCCTGCCGCAGTTCAATCTGCGTATTGTAAATTTTTGCGAATTTTCGTTTTTTTGCCAAGGATCTCCTGGCAAACGCCCACCCCTTCTTTTTGGCAATTTTCCATGTTCAAGACCCTGGGCTTATACCCGGATAAATACGGTAATCCACGAAAATGCATGTGTTGCTAAAATGCACCATTTTTAAGTAATCTATCGTGGTAACCTTTTATGGCAAGAATAACAATGTCTCTTTTGGTTTTTATACGTACAGGGGACATGATAAAATGCTGTTCGACTTCTACTTAATTTTCTACACATGAATCACATATCTTTTCTATTTCAGAGGTTTCTACTGGCAATGTTTATTTCCAAATACCATAGTATTTCTGAGCGATGATTACTCAGTGGACACATACATAAGGCTTTCTTGAAGTTCTACATTTTTTATTGTAGTTAGATATTTTTCAAGTTTGAAATTTTTTGAAAATTTTCGGCCTTTATTTAGTTTCAAGTTGTATGCCCCTATATAATATGTCAGTAGATTAATCACATTTATTTCATTATCCCTTGTACATCTGTTGACTGTGCCCCAGCCTTACCAGTACATTTCAACACTTTGGATCCAGGACTAAAAATTGTGTCTTTTGTTTACTCCAAATCACCCATGCTACGTTCTTGTTACGGGATCTCAGCACATGCCAACATTTTTAATCCTTAAGGTTTGGAGAGAGGGACCCACTTGACTTGTGCCGAAATCATGCTCTCATTAGTCAATCTGAAATTTGACCCAAATATGGAAAAAGCATATGATGATAATAATACATCTGAAAATATCTGCTTACAACTGGTTTTTAATCCGTTTTGACACAGCTTATCAGCCACCTCAAGTGCCAAATCCATGAAATAAACAACCAATGTCAATAGAGTGGACTATGTGTTAAACATGGATTAGGTACTGGCAAACCAACTTTTGCATAAGTATGTCTCTAAACGCATGCTTTTTTGAACTCAGAAGCCTTCAAAACGTAATATTACATGTAAGAACGAAAAAAATCTGTTGAGGTTTCACATTTTCCCCGTAAAAAGGATGCTGGCTGTTCTCTCTCTCTGTACTATCAACTCCTACCATTTCCTCACTTGTTGATGCATGTCAAGCTGTAAACGAGCAACAGTACTCATTTCACCCAATCTCCCGCTTTTATTTTATTTTAATCAACTGCATACCGCTTAATTTCTGATTTTTATCCCTTTCTTTTCTCACTTGCTTATTAAAAACACTGGCCGCTTGTCCATACACTGATCACTGGCACATGAGTTGTCGAAATGGTTGTTTTAATGCTAAAGTTTGAGGATTCAATAAGTATTAACCATTATTTAACTCCGAACGACATTTTCAATCCATCACACTTTGTATCGGTATCGTTCGTGAACGCAACTTGAACTATGACCTCTTGTTACGTGAATGTCCCACAGCAAGCTGATAGAGCGGGACTCTGTTCCGTTTGAATCCAGCCTCGTTTTAACAATATGATTATCGAGACATTTATGTCATACAGGCAATGCTAACTCTTTAGGGCAGAGAGCAGAGAAACCAGGAAAATATTGATGTGTTTTTCCACACAAAAAAAATGCCACGGCGAGCAGACGGGCGACATTTGCGGTTGCAAAAGTAAGTGAAAACAAATTATCGAAAAGCAGAAGCGAGCAGGAGGTTGGTTAGTGCTGTACATTCAGGTCCTTTGTAAAAATGCGATCAGCCACGATCTATCATTCTGAAGCACGCCAAAGACAGAAAAAATGCAGTTTTGAATATTGACACCGTTCCTATTTTTTAAATGAGCCATAAAAATGTATGTTGCTTAAGTGATGATCGAAACAGACTCGTTTGCAAGTTTTAACGGCAACGGTCTCTTGAAGATATCAGACTTCACTTTCGGAGTTATCACCGAAGATAATGTACGACATATTAAAAATTGGAAAAAGCAATAAAACAACAACATTTGGTTATGTGAAATTGGTTAGCATTCACGAAGGTCCAATCTGTACTGTTGTATTGTCTATTTCGTCAACCGAGCGAACCTGCTCGACGATTATTATTGCAAATGTCATTTCTGTCTCCCTGGTCAATGAATCCAGAATCAATTGGGTATAAGTACGTTATTTTAGAATGATTTTCATTTAGTTTCACGTGATAGTTAGTCTGATTTATCATATAGCACTACAAACAGGAAGTCCCCAGCATGGGTCAGAATACTAGTATACCATAGACCACTCGTTTTGATGAATTGTCTGGGTGTGGCTTGTGGGTAAGAATAGAAAATGGATTTCGATGAGTTTGTGATTATTTCCATTTTTGACAACAGATTTTTACTACTGAAATGAAATTATCACGTCTAGCGTCGAATTGTTAATAGGTGAAGTGATATTAAAATACATAAGTTGTTCATCGTCTTGCGTACACTACAACAACAAAGGATTACTTTTCAACACAGATCTCTAGTCAAGAGAGAGGCGTTTGAACGTAACCCCAGAACAAAACAGGACCCAAATTGATAGGGAGTAAAACACAGAATTGGAAGAGCTGTCCATGCATTGACCAATCACACAAAAGCTCACAAACACCAATGAAATATTTGTTGTTGGGGTTTGGCACTAAAAACAATGTTTATAAGCTTAAAGTTGAATTTGATCATGTTATATTCCAAGCAATTGTAAGCAGAAATTTTCATATGTAATTGCTACATATATAATGAAATTATATCCCTTTGTTGTTATGGTATTTATTTACAAGTCATTGTGACCATGAACAGCATAGAAGATTCAAAAAACAATTATTTTTTTACGTCGATGTAGCATTGCAAGTAATACCAGTTGCAGCAGCACATAAATATGCGTCGCTGACGGCAGTTTGCATTCATTTCATTCATCACTACAGCATATATAGCTTCACTTCCTCCGTTGTCATGTCACACTTCCTCCGTTGTCATGTCATACTAGTATGAATCAGTATATGTTCATGAGAGCGTGATTTTGGTTTGTGTCGAGTGTTTAGGCAGCAAATCTAGACACGTGCAGAGTTTCGGTCCCAAGCATCTAATGGGACCAAGTGTTTTTTTCGGCAACTGCAGAATCCGTGTCATGCTGAGATCTCTAATGTGAATGTCACTTTTGTATTCGATTTCAGTTAGTCAAGATGTTTTCTAAACCACAGTTACATTTTTTACCGTGTCTAAACCTAGTTACACAACTTCCCCTTTTCTTTGGCACTATACACCCATTGACGCTGCAGTTCGGCGTCTTCTACACCGATCTGACGCATATCGCGCTAGGTGTGCCGGGAGTTTGTTCGAAATTTCGAACATTTCGAAGTCAATCGTCGATTGACACGTATTTTACGGATATATTAAATCGTTTCAGAGACCTGTTTACTAAATAATGATAAATGAAACTTAGAAAACTTGTAAGAACAAACTGGGCCCGAAATTCGCGCAAATTGCAATAAGTTTACGCTGCTAGAGTCTGGTTCGGATGGAGTTCTACGCGTGATTTTATTGCGCTCAAGGACGTTCTATTTTCGAACTAGTTGAAACCGGAAATAACGCAACTACTTTCGAACTTCAAACACAAATTTGATTATCGTTATTATGTGTTAGTTTATTGTTGTTTCAAAGATTGAATTATGTATGACAATAATATTTCACTCTATAAACAATATTTCACTAAAATATGTGATTCAAAGGCAACCCAAATTGTAAAAAGCAATATCAAGTTCCGCGTATAAACACTGTTGTAAAGAGGCGGCGGAGCGGAATTTTAGCCAAAATCGACTAGTAAGGCGTCATATGACACAGGTTTTGCAATCTCCTTCCCAGAGGCCTTTGCGCTTTACGCAATAGTGCCTCTGCCACAGACAGCCTTCAATTTTGTGGTCAATCACCTCACTACGCACGGCCATTTTCCTGTAGCTGTTACATCTGAAAACGTACTACAAAAAGTGGGAAAAAATGTATGTGACATCCGAACTATTTATTAATGTCAGACTTCAGTAAAAACGTAAATACGAACCATTTTATCACGGACTATGTTTTGCAAGGTAATGTTATTGTAGTGAAATGGCGCATATGATAAACTAAAACTAGGGAAAACGGCGTTCTGTTTATGTACACAAGATGGGGAAAGAAACATTAAACACTAATTTTACTCGAAGGGATTTCCTAACAACCTCATTCGTCTTGTTTTCTGGTG